GTTTTTAAAAAATAACTTGAAAAAGAGTTTACCTCTAGTTTCCCCTGATTTTTTTTGTCCCCATTATCCCCAAAAGCTCCATTGGTAGCAATTTGGCCCCCCCCCCCCCCCCCCCCCCCCCCCCCCCCCCCCCCCCCCCCCCCCCCCCCCCCCCCCCCCCCCCCCTGATCTTTTGAGTCCCCTTTTCAAAGAGGACGGGGAAATTTGCAGCTAGGTCCCCCCCCTCTGTAATTGCCTCTTTAAGGGTTTTCCCGTTTTTTCCCCGTTGGGCATTCTTTTTTAGTGATTAACCCATTTAAGGGTGTTTCCTAGTGGCCCCAAAATTTTCCTACCCCCCCAATAACCTTAAAAACCCAGTAGTTAAAAGACCCGATTAAATTTCCCTTTAAACCCAATTTTAAAACTAATGTTACAAAGGGGTGTTGTACGGAAAATTTCGAGGGTCGGGTTTTGTTTTTTTCCTCATGTTCTGGTTGGATTTCCTGGTTCTCAATAGACCCCTTTTATTTTCTTTCGGCTCGATTTCTTCTAATTAGTCACCGTTGGGGTTGGGTTTTGAAATTTGGGAAGAAACCTCCCTTTTGTTCGCCCGGGGCCTCAAAGTTTTCAAGGGGGGGGTTGGAAATAAAAAGTATTTTTCAAGTGGTTTCCCAAACATTGTTTTCCCTTTTTAAATAGCTTGTACCAGTTGATTTTTTTGAGTCCAAGTCAAGGTAAAAGGGCAAAAAAATTTAAACCCTTTATTTATTGGTTTGCCGTTTGATTTTGGCCCGTTTGTTTTAAAAATTCGACCCAAAAAATTTTAAATTGCCCCCCTGTCCCCCTCCCCCTCCAAAATGTCCCTTTGATGAATCCCCTCCCCAAAAATTTTCAGGGTCGCCTTTTTTATCTTTTTGGGCCAACCTTTTTAAGAGAACCCAAAGCATAGTAAGGGCGGGAATTGGGCTGGAGATAAAATTTTTCCCGTAGTAGGGGGGAAAAGGGGCAGGGAAAAATTTGTGTTGTGACTGATTTAAGCAGTTGGGCACCCAGAGTTCCCAAATTTTCGAGTAATAATTTTAAGGAAATTAGTGAGTTTTATTGCAAATAAAAATTTATTTGAATTCACATTTTTGTTGCGTTAAAAAAGGTATATCCCCCCCCTGCCCGCAACCCTCAGGGAAATTTTCCAAAAACCCCTTTTTTCCCCCGGGGTGACCCATACATGAAAGTTTGCTTTGTTAAAAATACATTTTTTTTAACAAACATTTAATTGTATTATGTAAATTTTAAGTATTATTTTAAAATTTAAATTAAAAGGGGTGGGGGGCAATTTACCCCCCCACAAAAACCCCCCACAATATAATTTAAAAAAATTACCCCACCCTGACCCTGCCTGGACCCCGAACCCCGATGACCCCACCCGACCCGACCCGACCCCGACCCTGACCCGACCCTGACCCTGATCCAGGACCCCGACCTTGACCCCGACCCCCGACCCCGAAACCCGACCCCGACCCCACCCCGAACCCCGCCCCCGACCCCGGACCCCAACCCCAAAAATTTAACCCCAAACCCCCAACCCTAACCCCCAGGTAAAACCCGACCTGACCCCGACCCCGACCCTTTTCCCCGACCCCCGGGCCTGACCGGACCCCGACCCCCACCCTGACCCCGAACCCTTACCCTAAAAACCCCCCAATTGACCCAGTGTAATTACTTGGGGGGCAATTGTCGTTTTTAAGTCCCAGATTTTTTCCCACATTGGGCCTAAATTTAATTTAAAAAGGGAGGGGGGAATTTTCGGTGGGTCAATTTTTGGGGGGCCAATTTTCGTTTTAAAAAACCCCAAATTTTGCGCAATTTACCCCCGGGTAATTCATTGGGGGGAATTGTTTGGGGGGGCAATTCACAATTGTGCGGTACCTAAATGAATGTACTTTTTTTAGGGTCAAGTAAAGGGCAAGCCTGGAGGAGAGCCCCTTTTCTTTTGGGTTGGAAGGTTTAAAGTTAATGTTTTTTTTTAAAGAAATGTTTTAAAAGGGCGAAAATTGTTAGTTTGAAAATTTTTTTTGGGGAAGCAAAAAAATTAATCTGAGAAGTGGGTTTCCCCCTTTTTTTAAAGCTCAGGCAAAGGGGGAACCCCTTTTTTTTTAATTTTTGTTATTTTTTATACAAAAACTTTGACCTTTGGTTTGCATTAAGTTTTAGTATATAATATACGGGGTGTACTAGGAAAAAATGAATTGTTTTGTTTATTTTAAGTAAAATAAAAAAAAGCAATTTTTGGGGATCTTTTTTTCGAAAGAAAATAGTATAAATTTTTATAAAAATTTTTGGAGGTATTTTAAATGTTTGTTATGTATTTTGGATGTACAATCTTAATTATTGTTTTTTTTTTATTTTATACCGCCCCTTCCTGTTTTTATGTTAAAAATGGGAAAAATACCCAAAATTTAAATAAAAAAAGGATTTATAGCCTTCGATAAGTCAAAAAAAGCACAAAGAAAGTAGGCCCCCCCGGGGGTTAAAAAACGAGCAATTGTCAGATGGGGCGCGCGCACACGTACCCCCCCTTTTGTTGTGATCTGTATGGGGCCTTTACTTGGAAAAAGCGCGTCACGCAGTACGGTAAAGGCCCTGGGGATGTGAAAGTACAAAAAGAAGAAAAGGGCCGAGGGGATTAATTTGGGGTGTACGTGCAAACCCCTCGGTTTTTAAACCCCCCCGCCTGATGGCTCTTACGAGGTTCTCAGGTAAGCTGAAAACTAATGCACGATTAAGCTCATGAGTTGGGGCAGCCCATTGGTTTGTGAAGAATCAGAATCAAGTCTCACCTGTAGCACTGTAGGTTTGAATATTCATTGTTACTAGAAAATCTGGGCCAGCCAAGGTGGTCTGTGAAAGAATCAGGTCTCATCTCAGAGTACAGCAGATTTGAATATATGAATATTCATTGTTTCCAGAAAACCCGGCCGGAGAGCTTTGTAGTACATGGCATACGCCATGCAATAAAAGAAAAAAGGTGAGGGATCGTGATCTGAATGGTGCAGATAAAGATCATTTAAAGATTTAATGATATTATCCTCAACAAATAATTACAGCTCAACATACTTAAAATAATGATCCTAGTCCTACTCGTGAATTTTGAAATTCTAACTGGACTGAATTATTTCATGTCACCGAGAATCTATCATCTTTGCAAAAACCATATTCTGTCAATCGTTTAACGTTAACTAGTTAACTGGACAAAGGAACACACAGTTGTCTCGTTTACGAAAGGATCAGCGTCCCTCCTAGTCCTATAAGTATACGGTATACCCCGCGTCCCCGCGAGCTTTTACGATTTCTCGTGGAAGATGCTGACATTAGCCGAGTTGCGAGTGCAGTAATGAAGCTACCGATAAGAGTTGGACACGCCTGGACAAAAGGACACACAGTGCTGTTAGGAAATAGTATAAACTAAGATTTTTTACACAGATTCACTAGGTAGTGCGCCATCGACAGTGAGCCGCGCGTGCCGACTGTAGGATGGTTTTTTAGCGCTAATTTCGGCCAGCACAATTTTCTTCAAACAAATAGATATTCAGTATACTTCCCGACCTCCAATTGGAACAAAAATTGGTAAGCTTACTCATAGATTTACAAGGAAAGTGTCCGAAAAATTTAAAGCATATCAACCATCAGACATTATGTTACAGCTAAAAGCAGCGTATTTTGCCCCATTTTGATCACTATATCAACTCCGATATCCATGCACGATGGGACCACGTTGAATAGAGCCGCGCTATTTTCTATCCCGTTTGGCGCTGCTAGTCGCGCTTGCGTCCGCGCGTTACGCGTACGTCATGTAAAATATTGAAACCACAAATGCGACCTTATTGTTGCGCGCGCGACCATGCGCTACCCATTTCCATGTTTTAAATTAAGAAATCGACGTACGACCACAGTATATAAATTTTGAAACAATTAATTATTTGGTAATTGATGCATCTAGAGTCATTTTAATATAGCTTGTATACATTTTTATTGTTATGCATAGATAGATAGCCTGATGAATCGAGCGCTAATTCTAATGCAGAAGAAATGACTACTTATGAGCAAACAAACCGCCTAGTTTGATGTTAACTTTCGTATTCTTTACTATTTAAGCAAATTGTATTGTTGGCTGATATTTTTCCAGCTTTAAATTTGATATCGTCCACAAGTTTCGGGAAATGATGTTTGTAGACTTGAGACTGTATGCTCACGACCTTTTGTAAATACATATATGAAGAATAGAACATCATATCACCTATTCTTTGATATAAAGTGAAAAAGATATTCAAATCATTGGTAACATATTGATTGTTGTAGATCACAGGTCTATGAATTCTCACATACCATCTCCATGACGAAGTACACAATTTTTCTTACTTGAGGCCGTACAGTGAGTTCTAATGGCTTGTCCCAAATGCACCAATGTGCTTGACTTCTATAACTTAACATTATGAGCCTTTAATCTTATGTCCCAACTCCCATCGTATAGATGATTGATATTTCTTACAAGCACACAAGCAGAATTTCTTCTATAGGCTTCTTTTGAAAATTTCTTTGTTGTCTTTTTAAACCAAGAATATATTGCTCTATGAGATAATGCCATTTTCGAAAGATTTGAAGATGAATGTTTATTAGTGGGCTACAAAATCCTGCCACTCATCATTGCCTATTGAAAAGTAAAATTATTTCTTGGAGCACTTAAATCAACCACTTGCCACAATACAAATTCTCGCATTCCAATAAATGTTATTATATGTTTATTGTTTCTTTTTACCCATATTTTGACCAATTGTAAAAATATATATGCTCAAATGGATATTCTTTTAATTAAGTACCGGGGAAAGAAGGTGGACACCAAACATGAGATCCATCTATCAGAAGTCTCCTACAATCTCATCCCTGCCCCTTTAATGGAGTCTAAATAATGGAACAGATCATGCGTTTTGAAACTTTTATATATTAGATTGTTAAAGATTTAAAATATTGTGCTCTGCCAATTGCAACACTAAAAATTTGATTGTGCTCTGCCAATCGCATCACTTGATTTAATTGAATGTATATTAAATACATTTTGACACATTTTTCCTTTTATTTACTATCGAAACTTCTATTAGGGAAAACGAAATCTTTGACATACTTATTCTAATCAATTCAATTTAGGTGCCTACAGTTCATGTATGATGAATCTACTGGTTAGTGGTGACGACGCAGTCTTAACATTGGAGTGAGCCAATCTAATCCAAGCAAGTGAGGGAAATAATTTTATTTTAAACCTGGCGTGCACCAAGTTGGAAATGCAGTATCCAAGACAACCCACCATTATTAAAGGCTAGTTAGACATTTAAATTGAGTACACAACAGTTTGGTTAGGAATAAGGTTAAGGTTCCTAAAGTCATAATAACTATCTGTAACCCCTACCCTTGCATTATTTTAAATTTGTTTCGCTAAAAAGTTTGTTTCACTATTTCTCACTCTTATCCTAAAAGTAGTTTATTATGATCATAGTTCTATAATACATGGGAAGTATCTGTGAAGCCCCACAACCAAGTCTACTCTTGGTTTTAGGGCTGCACAGATACTGCCCCACTCAATTCCCAATCCAAAACTGGACACCTTTTAGGTTACATAACTCAATGCACTCAATGATGGTAGCCATAAAGCACATCACTCCATTTGTATCCTTTACCACACTATGATTTATTAAAACATTGTTACAGGCATTATTACTCAAATTTCTATTAAAATGAAACTGTAACCTTGCAGTGCAGAGTATGAATCAACCCCGAAATGTTGCTATTTAACAATTAACATAGCAATTAGAAAGATAGATTATTGTGTTTATCCTTAGAATTCTATTAGTTGTATAATGTAAAACCGGTATAGTGTTGGAATTGTTCTCTGAATTTTGTAAAATTGATCCAGAAGATCAGAAAGGGATGCACTTATGCATCAAAATGTTATGTATCCCAAATTTCTTGTTCCCAAGGTATTACATTTTTCACTCAGTGAGTGTTTCTGATTAAAGTATGAGTGTTGGGTGTTTGTCATGTAATGTAGGGCTGATCAGTGGTCAGTTATTTTGATTGATAATTAACTGGGACTGTTGAAAAGCACTGCGCTATTTCTATTCCGTTTGGCTCTGCTAGTTGCGCTTGACCACGCGCTACATGTACGTCATATCATTGATCATGTTTTTACTTGTTTAGATACAAGCTTGTCACGTTTGGCCATCATAATTAAAGTGAAGTAAATAATTCAGTATCTTAATTAGGTGGCTGCATTTTGTTTTGAGTTTAGTAGGTCCTAGTATTTATCCCTATGCAGTCACTCAGATAAGTTTTATACCAGGACACTTCAACAAAAACACATATTCTGCCCACAATAAGGGGCCATAATTGTTTCAATTATGCAAATGTATAGGATTATTATTATCATTACCTTGATGCAGTTATCTGTGCACATATGAATACTCCAAATATACATTTTTTTAAAAATTGTGCATAAAAAGCGGCCACTTTGTTGATTTTATTTGGATTCGATCTAAGTACCACTGATCTGATATTATTTTCATTGTCGGGCTGAAATAAAACTTGTGAAAATTCCAAGAATGCACTGAGCACATTTATGCGCATTGCTAAGCATCTGGCTAATTTAATACTGCAACTGGCTAATGTATAATTGAGATAATTAACATGACCTTTATTCAGATGACGGTAAGATGATTTCGATGATGTCAAAACCGTTGGAGAGATGGATGCCTCATCTACCCCTGGTTGGCTCACAATACATATGATTATTCTGTTTGATATTTTTTCCTCCTCTTCAATCATTGTTGGTCTTCAGCTGTATGAGGTAATTTATTTCAAACAACTAAGCCTGATGCAAATGATGTTAAATATTATTAAGATCTGTCTTTCTTGTATGATCACATAATTCCGTGTTCTTGATGGAAGGCCACATGCACTGTTTTCAAACTTTAAAACAACGACCAAGCACTGTGTTGTTTTTGTTCTTATCATGATCAGTTTATAGTTATCTTCTGATCTATTTAATTTGAGGCAAGCCACGCTTATAATACTTATTGTATCTTTACTAATAAGCTTGATCATATTCTCAGTAAATGAAGGTTTTTAAATGAGCATGTGCTTCGTTACTTTTAGGATAAACTTACTTGTCGCTAGCTGCTGTAATGGCTACATTGTTATTTGTTGTGCTAATGATACCAAAATCGTAGAATAGAGAGAGAGAGACTGAGAGAGAGAGAGATTGTGCTGGCTGAAATAGTGGTGACTGGAGAACTCAGAAATACAAATCTGTGCAACATCTTAAAATTCCTAGTTTGATAGCCCTTACAACTCCCTCTGACACACACCGTTTAGTAAGTACTGTAATACTATTTCAAATACGTCCTTAGATAAAGAAATATTGGTAATATTTTACCGGGGGAGGAGGGGGACCCCGGGATCAGGTACTGAGTACTGTTAACTGTACGTGACGTTGGGGTGGTGTGTCATATATTCTTCCCAAACACAGTTAGTACTTTTGTACTAAGTGGTGGATCTGCTGCTCATTTCCCAGAAAAACAGTTTGTACTGTATGCTACTAAATAGTGAGTCTTAGGTCTAATTTGCCCAAAAACAGTTAGTAAATTAAGATATAATTTATTAAACAGAGTGCGATTGATCTTTTGTATAATTTTAAAAAGTGGCCTTTGGCTTTGTTGACTTTTCCGTTTGAGAAGGTGCAGTGTTTAATTTATTTTAAAATGTATTTCAACTACTGGTTCTTAAATGATGTGTGATATGTATAGTACACATTACATACATGCCATGTGTGTAATTGTAATCTGTAAACATGTGGGCGTGTGTTAGTGTATGTTTTTAATTAAGCATAGATATCTCAACTGTTAGTTTCATTGTTTACATTCAATATCGGATCCTTTTAAAACTAAAAAGTCATATTTAATGAGCTGTTTAAAGCAATTTCTGGGTGGGTATCTTATTTTATAAACCAAGACATAGTACAGTGATTTCTCAACAGTTAGTACCACAAAAGCCGGTAAAAGGGGGTGGGTGTCTTAATTATTATCCTAAAAACAGTTAATACATGATCCCTTACCCCCGGCCCCCCCCCCCCCCCCCCCGGCCCCCCCCCCCCCCCCCCCCCCCCCCCCCCCCCCGATTTTACTGCTGCTAGGTAAAAATACTTTCATAGGTTCAATAGGTAGGTACTGCAATTGTATGGCATGAATATCTATAAAATTGTTTACACGTTTAGCGACAGTGAAAAGAAATCATAACAGCCACTTATTCTTGGAGATGGCAAAAAGATTAAATAAGCTAAAAGAAGCTTGTATTAATCCTCTGGATGTGGTATCTCCTCTATTTCAGAAGTCTTGGCCCAGATTTCTCTGGTCTACTAGACGTGGAGCACAGGTGTAAGTCTACTTCAAATGTTTGTTGAGAGTGTCGGTTGAGTGTTAGCAAATAACTCTTTCCAACGTAGATTGATGGCCATTGCAGAAATATTCTCCTGTACCGTAGCGAGTAGATCATCTTTTGCTTTCTTGGACCAAGACTGAGTGCTGTGTTGTGAGTGTGAGTAGAAATGGTGACCTTTCCTCTTCGGGGGCGGGGGAGGAGTGGTAGTGAAATGTTGATGGGGGAGCGGGAGAAGTAGAGAGGGAGTTGTGGAGTATTTTGTGGAGCGGTTTGAGGAACAAACTAAATAACCTTCGAATAGATTTCGTAATTCCTGCTAGCATTGTACAAAATTTCAGGGATTAAATCCTGAAAAGTAGCGAATAGTATTGCCGATCAGGCCAGGACCATGTAAAAGTGTAACATTCCTTCTCCGAGAACAAATGTAAGTTGAAGCAAAATTACTATTGCCAATTATTTGCCAATGCTGATGAAAAAATGTTATTAAGATTTAGAAAGTTCTGAGATTATTATCTATCATACAATTTTGACACAACTCACGACTTGCTGAGGTTATGTTTCAAATTCGTTTCACATTATTAATCTTTGACAGGGAGTTAATTCTGCCACAAAAGAAAAGAATGAACTGATGAACTCGTTCACACTACCCCTCGCTCTTCAACTGTTGGAGAAAACTTCCTTCTATCGCTGCTCGCAACACAGCAGAACTTGGTTTAATTCTGTGCGCTAAAATTTTGCAAACGAGGCCTAAAATACTGTTATGTAGGATAGACTGTTATGTAGGATAGACGGAATCGTTTCAGTAACTTTCTTGATCATCTTTAGAAACTCTTTCAACAACATTGATAAAGTCCAGTTTGCCTGCTGAAATTTCAGAATCTTGCTCTACTTTACGGAAGGCGCGAATGTAAAATCTATGAATTGTAAAAAAAGCAATAATTGTCAGTTAAGAGTTAAAATTTGAATATGCAATATGCATGATATGGTCGGTCGAATATAATATAATGAATTGATCCAAAGCCAGCAGGCTTTTCGCACTGGCCAGTAATGCTTTTTGAAGGGAAACGCTACAATGCTCATCAAGGAGCAAATCCTGGTTCGCGTAACCAATATCAAACGCATCATGGAATCCATTTTCTGAGATAGGATTCACATCACTCTTTTTACTGTTTGTTTAACAGAATGATATTAAGTAGTGGTCGTTTTGAATTATTTTCAGACTTTCAATACCGATGGGGTTTGAGAATAATTAGGTCTTGGGAACATAGTTCTAATTCGGAGTTATGGCAAATTACGTGTTAGTAATAATGTCAATGATTATATCGGTGTTCGTGTTTTAATCTAACTACTGACTTTATTTGTTTATTTCAATAAGATATTGTATTTACCTTATATTTATAAATAATATAGATAGAGCAAAAGCATTAGACCGGATGTGGGTTCGAGTCCAGGCCAGGGGTTGAAATCTTCGAATCGAAGATTTCAACCCCTGGCCTGGACTCGAACCCACATCCGGTCTAACTTTTACTAGTATCTGTTCTTTGGAGTAGTCCTCTGCTCTCATGATCAAGCCATTGTGGTAACTGATCATTTTGATACTATGTGTTATTATATTGTGCTACAATGCACTAATCGATCAAATTAATAATAGTTTCAATTCTTATATTGGTAGAATTCTTCGAATCGAAGATTTCAACCCCTGGCCTGGACTCGAACCCACATCCGGTCTAACTTTTACTAGTATCTGTTCTTTGGAGTAGTCCTCTGCTCTCATGATCAAGCCATTGTGGTAACTGATCATTTTGATACTATGTGTTATTATATTGTGCTACAATGCACTAATCGATCAAATTAATAATAGTTTCAATTCTTATATTGGTAGAATTGGCGTTAAAAATTGCACGCGAATGTATTAAAATTACACAGAAACATCGTCTTTGATCATCTCTATCTCAAAACGATCACAAAGTAGCATCCTGAAAATTTGCACACATACAGTTGAGATGATGTCTAAGGCTCATGGTAGTCGGGTGCCGCGCGGACTTATCGCTCGGTCGATCGAGCGATAAGTAGCTCCTTATCGCTCGTGCGCGTCGTCACTTCAAGCACAATTGCGCGTCGTATCGTACTCGATGCTTGCCAAAGAGCTTTAATACTTTGGTTTTGGCGTGTTACATCTGAAGTTAAGTTTACCGGCCTTTTTGCCAATTGCCTGCGACAGAAATTTACGTCCTCCAATCATTCCTGGTTCAGATCTTTCTGTAGATTCCATTCCAAGAGTGAGTTGTCGGTGATGGCGGTGTATCCTTTGGTTGGCGGGGTATCGGGAATCGTCTCCAAAAATCGAGCAAGTGATACCTTGATGGGTCCTAGAGCAGTTAAACTGTTCACTTGTCGTGGGAGGAGGTTTCATAGTCTCGCTGCATTCACTCTAAAGGAATTCTCGTAATGAGTGGCCACTGATCGTTACGATTTGTTGTTCAGTGGTGGGACTATGGCTTTTATGCCATGTCGAGCGTTTTCCTTGAATACCATGTTGATGTCATTTGGAGCAAGGTCGTTTGCCATCTTCCATGTATGGATCAGGATGTATCGCTCTCTCAGCCTCTGCAGGGAGAGCAGGTCCAGCTTCTTAAGACGGTCCCAATAATCCAATTGTTGACAACCTAAGATACGGCGAGTGTAGTTCCTCTGAACATTTTCAATTGCTTCTATATCGGTGATTTTGCTGGGGTTCCAGACCGGGCAACAGTATTCTAGCCTGCTTCTCACCATTGTTTTGAAAAGGGTGAGCATCAGGAAAGGTGATCTGTCACTGAAGACACTGAAGACCCACGATGCCATTTTCTTAGCAGTTTTCAGCATCTGATGGATATGGGGCGTCCATGAGCAGTCATTTGAGAGGAGAACTCCAAGGTCTGTGACAGTTTGCGTTGGTTCGATAGTTTCCCCGTTTGTTGAGCTGTAGTTTTAGTCTTCGTTGGAGAAGGGGAGTTCTCTCAATAGCAGGGATTTATTCAGCTTGTAGTTGATAACTTCAAATTTGGTTTCGTTTAGCTGCATGTTATTTTGCAGGGCCCATTTGATGATATTAAACATATCTTCTTGAAGCAAACACCTTGCTACTAAATCAGTAATCTTGCTTATAAGCTTCGTTTCATCAGCATTCAGCAAAGACCTTTCCAAGAGCAGTTAATAACGTGGCCAGTTGGTCATCTATATACAGAATAAACAAGATTGGACCTAACACAGTTACCTGTGGGATACCACTTATTACAATCTGGAAGGAAGACTTTTCTCTTTCAACAGCCACTGTCTGCAGGCGATTCTTTAAGAACTCAGCAAGCCACTGTAGAGTTTTGCCCGTGATGCCGTAGCGTTTGGCTTTAGCTAGAAGAATGTTGTGATCTACATTGTCAAACGCTTTGGCGTAATCCAGGTATATAACATCCACTTCATCGCCACTATTGAGGGTCTTTAGAATATTGTCTGCATGGTCCAAAAGGTGAGCATAGATAAGGCTGTGGAGGAGAAAGATGGTTTAGAGGCAGGTGACCAAGATTTCTGAGATGGAGAATGAATTAAGGAATTTCCGGTCAGCTTTAAAATGCCTGCAGGATAAGATTGATAAAGTGCAGCCAGAACTAGTTAGCACAGTTACAAACGCCCACCCAGTTAGCTCTGACAGTGGCATCCAAGCGAACGCCGAACATGCACGAGATTAATCTTATTATATTAAGTCTGAACGTGTAGAGTTTAGAAAGGATTCGTTCAAATATTACGTAATTAGCCGAGGGTTGGGGGGGGGGGGGAGGGGATTCCAAATGATTATGCTAGTGTAATTTTGACACGATAGCTGTGTAGAACTGGTTACGGAGTGGGGGGGTGTAAAATTTGTCTAAAAAGTGATTACGTAATATGTGAACGACCCTAAACGTGAACACCGAGGATGAACTTTCTAACAGCATAATAATGCCCATAAATAGTTCAGTAGCTGGTTCACATCTATCAGGTGCCAGGCCTCCCAAACTGACTTAATTTGAAACTGGGTAGAATTTCATCAGATTTGCCAGGCGATTTAAGCATTTGATTCTGTGCGGGAATAACGGTCAGCGGAGAATACTTACTAACTTCGTTTTGTAGTAAAGTAGGATTAGGGTCAAATTATTAGGGTCAAGTGTTAAGTTAGGTTTTTAGCACAGTTTTCATTATAGTTAAATAGTTAGTTCATTATATAGTCCACAAGGGTAAAGTAATTTCGTAGGTTTTGTATTGAGCATCTTTTAGAGCCCTTTTAGTGCAAGCTTACATTTATATAGATTTTAGTTCCACTTATCTTTACGCTCTACGTGTAAATAGGCGGAAGTTTATGTAGTCATTATGTAGTCACGCGTGAATGAGTCACCCATTTCAGCGGCTGCACGACAAAGGGGGGCCCTCCATTATTAGGGGTCAGATCATATGACGTATAATTAGTGATGTGACGTATAATTAGTAATGTGATCCACCAGCTATGATTTACAGACGTGTGAACTCTACCCTATATCTAGCCCAGTTTAACTGCTGGGAGGATCCTGACGCTGCAGCTCTGGAACGTTGAATCACTCTGGCCAAGGACATGATGTTAGGGAGAGTCCAGGGCTTCTGATATCAGGTTCTGTGTCGCCGAAAGAGGTTGATCTTCAGCTTTCCTCTTCAGGGATGTTAGGACTTCTCTTCGTTCTGGGGCTGCGAGGTCTGCTTCGTGGTTGTGGGTTTTCGTACTCAATCTGAGAGAATCGGCTGAGAGGGATAGATAGCAGAGACACGGACACTTCGTAGGGAGTTTGTGCTTGCAGCACCGCCAGGAAGATGTGAGGGCTGAATCCTTGTTCTTCTTCCGACAGTAGATGAATCCATCAGAGTCAAGTAGCTGTTGAGATCCTGTCCGACCAGAGATGAATTTGGAGAAGGTAGGCATGTTGATAGAATGTAAGAATGCGATACTATTGTCTTTCATCTTTCAGTATATATACCTAAGAACACTTGATCGGTTCACTCTCCTTGCATGCCTTTGGCACGTACGTCTCACATCCCTTGATACGAGAACCCCCTTTAGCAAGAGCTCCCGTCCCTTATGTGATCTACGAGTCGAGCAGTCAGATCATGTTTACTTCTTAATGTACAGTTATGATTTACAGAATTGACATGTGAACTCTACCCTATATCTAGCTCATTTCTGGGTCTACTGATGGGGAGGCCGACAAAGGGGGGCCCTCCATTATTAGAGGTCAGATCATATGACGTATAATTAGTGATGTGACGTATAATTAGTGATGTGATCCATCCATGTGATCCAGTCTATTTAAAGGCTGACAAGCTTATTACTGGGGTCCCCTTTTAGTATATTCTTATGAAGTCTTCAGTACGTTTAATCAAGCAAGTATCGAGAATTTGGATTTATTGTAAAGTGATATTATTATACGACACTACATTTATTCGCCCAGATTATTCAGACATTCTTTTCAATTCTATTTAGACATTTTCAGTGAGACACACTTCTTACCTTTGTAAGTTTATTGTTGAAGTCTAGTAAGGCACACTCATTTCACCTACTCATTTACTTGATCGTGACCAGGAGAATTACTGTATGCAGAAATTAGGATCATACACGTTAAAACAGTCCGCAGTCCGAATCAACAGATCATATTAGGTGATTATGATTGATTGAGTCGGCAAAAACGTCTGCAATAAAGTCCAGTGATATCCTAATAGCATATCATAACTGGGCAAACAACTTAACAGGGTCTAGCGCTAATGAATAAGATAACAATGGTTACGATTGCTCTGAAGTAAAATGATTCCTTGCTAATATATCATGGTGAGAACCAGCACATATATCGATTATGTGCTGGTGACATGATATGCTTTCCATTACTAATTGAATAC